GAGACAATAACAGCTGAGATGTGCATAAAGCTTATAGATAGTTACCAGAAATATTTGAATGGGGTCATTGCTGCCAAAGTGGAATACAACCAAATGTTAAGGAGGGGTGCCTTTTATTATTGTTCATATCATTTTTTTCTTTTTCCTTTTTGAAATTATGTATAAGCAGAAAAAAAAAATTGTTAAATTACTTTGGTCAAACTGTGACTTTTCTACAAATAGTTTCAGAGCAATTGTTCAGATGAACTTTTCGCTATGGTACTTAGACTCTATGAATTTAAGCGCAGTACTAGATAATCGGTAAGGTCTCAATTTGCAATCGAATTGGCTAGATATAAGCATGTTCTATGCTAACAGTTTCTTTTCACACACTTGCTTGTAGAACTCTCTTCCAGCCCCATGATTTCTAGCCAATTTTAATCTACAAAAATTGATATGCAATGTTGATCATTATCTACTGCCTTTCTGACTAATCTTCTATTGATCTCTCTCCTCAATAATGTTTCTCATTTCTCTTATTGTTTCTCATTAAGTAACTCCTTGTGTCTTAGTGGCTGTACTGTCTTGCATGGATTGATTTGATTTTAAAAAAACCTACTGCTCTAATGATTTTGTCTTTGTTGTTTTAACATCACAACATTTCAGCTATTCTGCCTTTATAATTTTTGTTCTGTTTTCAAATTTTTAAGGAGCATGGAACTTAATAGCTGTTGTTCCTAGGTTCACCCTGACCCGGGGTTGTAGCACTTGTTAGGGTCCCAGCTATGGGCAAATAGTTAACACCCAAACTGAGGTCACACTATGAAAGTTTTAAAATAATTTTTAATACCAGCAATACATTTAAAAAAAAAAAAATATTATCAGCAATAAAAATTTTGGCGGCATTAAATAACCCATTGAGGTTGATATGCCATAAAACAAACCAAAACAAACCAAACAAAATTCTTTCACATTCAGCAACCCCTTGTGTCTTAATGGTTTTATTGCCATGCTTGGGATGAATTTCCTTAAAAAAAAAGAATTTGAAACATTCTGATGATATAAATTTGATTCTTTTTCACTTATTTATGTTACCGTCCGGTCAATACTCCTCCCCTTCTCTTGGACATGAGTAGAGACTTTCGCCTTGTTTCTTGTTTAGGAAGGGTTCTGGTACTCTCTCTCTCTCTCTCACTGGCCTCTGTATCTCCAGTTGCCTTGATCTATCCACTACTCTTCTCCTCATCCTTTCTTCTATCACTCCTATCTGATCTTGCTCCAAATTTTCTGTAACACCTTGCGTCCTAGTGGCTTTCCGCCTTGCTTGGGGTGAAACGCTTAAAAAAAAAAAAAGATATAGCAAAAAATGAACGGGTGCTAATAATGGCAACCTGGACAAAATATCTCCTTAAAAAGTGAATTTATTAGTTATGTACAGGATGCTATGGATGAATTATCGCAAAAATGAAAATATCATTAACATCTCATTTTAATGGATATATTTACCAAAATTGCACAAAAATATCTTGAAATATTAAAGATTAAGTTTATTCAATAAAATCGTCATTGGCTTCAACCATGACCTCCAGACGAATTCAAAATCTGCAATTCTTTTGGACGGTCTCCTTGTCTAACTTTGTCAATGTTGCTGTAATGCTGGCTTTCAGTTCATCTTTGGAGTTACATGTTTGTTTTTTTTTTATCTCTCACTTAACTGCATCCCACACATAATAATCAAGAGGGTTGCAGTCAAGGGAGTTAAACAAGAAAATCCTGAATCTGCCTTTTAAATAAATCTGTCTGTTCATTATCATCTATCTATCAAATTTAAATTAGCCTGTTCATCTATGTATCAGTACGTCAGACCTGATGATATATTTATATATACATATATATTTATGTATGTCTGTATATATATTCAAATATGTATATATATTTTCATAATTATTTTTTTATATACATGTACACGAGTATATGAATATATACAGGGTGCGATGGATAAATTGTCGTCAAAATGACATGGAAATAAAAATAACACTGACATCTCATTTTAACAGATATATTTAGCAAAATTACACAAAAATATCTTGAAATACTAGAGTAAATTTAAATGGCTTCAACCATGGCCTCTAGATGACTTCGGAATCACTCCAAACCAAACAACTTTGTAATCACCATTAGACTCATCCAACTCTTTCTGAATCCTCTGCACTGTCCTCAAATTGACACCCAAACACACTGAAATGTTTGTATTGGATATTCCGGTGTAAATGTCAAGTAGTACAGCATGCCATTTCCAAATTTCTGGCAGAGTGAATGGTGCCATGGTACTCTTTTTCTCACAGACGGTGCCCAACTGACCCTACTATAATGTGCATGCACAAAATAAAATATAAAACGGCGACAATTTACCCATCGCACCTTTTATGTGTGTATATAAATGAAATGGACTAAACCCGCCAATTATCTTAATATATTTTCTGTTTAAAAATAATGTATAAACAGAAATATATATATATATATATATATATGTATGTATGTATGTATGTATGTATATATATATATATATATATATATATATATATAGATAGATTTTATAAATATAAAACTGAATTTTCAGAACAGTAGGTTAAATATAACAAATTTGGCAGCAGAATCATGGAATTATCTCTACCAGTCATAAATTGGTATTATATATATATATCCACAGACAGACTGTTTCGCTGTTTCACAGCTCATCAGTGTGGCTAGACATCCGATCGCTTCAAGCTGGGATTGAAACCTGACTGATTTGGTATCAGTCAGAGATTCTAACCCCTAGGCTATCAACACCTGGCAGGGAGAAAGGCATCAGTAAATCATTATCTCCCAAAAATTCTTACAATCTAAAGATATTATCTGGCTTTAAATAACCTGCAAAAGGTTGATAAGCCATTAAAAAAGAAATCAATCAATCCCAAGTGGTCACCCATCTAGGTACTGACCAGGCTCAACATTGCTTGCTTTTGGTGATCAGGCGAGAACAGTTTAAATGTTATATGACCATAAGCTATAATATCACAAATATTTCTTGCCTAGTTCTTCTCTATTTTGAGAGTTATCTTCCCTGCATATTTCTTTGTTTAGTGGCATATCAACACCTTATGGGTCATTGGAAGCTAAAATTTAATTTTCTTGCGACCATTAGTAATTTCTTTTACAAAAATGTATTACTGGTATTTATTTATTTATTTTTTTTTTAATGAAAATGTATTGCTGGTATTTTTTTTTTAATGAAAATGTATTGCTTTTTTTTTTTTTAATGAAAATGTATTGCTGGTATTTTTTTTTTTTTTAATGAAAATGTATTGCTGGTATTTTTACTATAAAAATGTATTTACACTTTGATAATGTTTTTATCCGTTTGGGTGTTCACTATGGTTTTTCAGGTACTTTTCAAATTTGTTTCATGTGTAACCACCTCCCCAGGGTATGATGAAAAATCATTTTTGCTAATCTCTTACCATTATTAATGGCACATTTTAATCTTAATCTAGATTTCAATAGGGGAGGCACAGTGGAGGATAGTTTTGCCATATTTCTGCCGTAAAAATTGATTTCAACGTTTTTTTAATAAAAAAAATCTCCAGGATTAATTTAGTAATTAAATTTAGTATTTAATTTGAACAGGACTAGAGGTTTATCTCTTATTTCGGTATTTTTAGAGGGTTTATCTCTTATTTCCTGTTTGGGGTTTCCAGTTGCTTCTAAAGTCAACTTCAACTCTATACTTCTAACGTCTCTCCTAAACTCTTAAATGTTATTTATTTATTTTTTTCTTCCTTCAGTAGAGGTTTAGTTTAGATAGTTGCTTTTTTTTGAATAGGCCTAAACTCTTAAATGTTATTTATTTATTTTCCCTTGTTTCCTAGAGGTTTAGTGTTTTGGGATTGGGTTTCCAGTTGCTTCTAAAGTCAAACTTCAACTCTAAATCTTAAAATGTTAACATCTCAGTGACTAAACTCTGAAATCTTATTTAAACTGAAATTTATTTACTATTGATTTTTTTTTTCATCAATGGCAGTAGATAGGTTTGCCTATCGTCCAGTTCACACTCCTCCTCTTTTGAACAGGAGTAGAAGGTTTATCCCTTGTTTCTTGTTTAGGATTGGGTTTCCGGTTCCTTCTAAAATCTACTTCAACTCTAGACTTCTGACAACTCTGCCTAACCTCTGAAATTCTATTTAATATTTTTTTTCCTTAACAGAAGTAGGTAGGTTTGCCTATCATCCGGTTCATACTCCTCCTCGGCCTTTTGAACAGGAGTAAAAGTTTATCCCTGGTTTCCTGTTTAGGATTGGGTTTCTGGTTCCTTCTAAAGTTGTCTCATTCTCTTTCACTCCCGGTAACCCTTTGCATCTTAGTTGTATTATTGCCTTACTTGGGGTGTATTGAGTAAAAATAAATTTTGATTTAATAAGATAATTAAAATATACTATTGACTCTTTATATTTTTATACATATAATTTTTATTGTGAATTGTAGTAGTTTTTTTCTTCAAATCATAAATTATTCCATCTTTTCTTTTCTCCTTTACTTTTCAATTGTTTTATTTTCTTCATTTATAACATCGTGTCATGAAAGTAAATATTTTTAGTTATTTCAATAGCGGTCGAAATTTTGCTGTCCTAGTTATCTCCCCTGCAGTTGTAATTTCTTAACGTCCAGTGAAAATCTTAGAACAATGTGCTATTCACATAATCTATGACCAGTGCCAGAGAGATAACTCTGATATAGCAAAATGTCATAAAAGTAAAAAGATATAAATACGTTTTACATATAATATCCTCTAAATAAAGATCCTTTTAAATACTTGGAAGATGATTTCTTCATGTGAAAGGTTACCTCTATACGTGATAATATTGTATTGTTACTTATTGATTTATTTCGCTAAAAATAAAAACTTTAACACTTATACTGTTTCTTTTAGATTATCCCGGCAGTTGTTTTGGTCCGAGACGCAATAGAAAAACTCTTCCAAAATGGTTTATATGACGGTCATTGAACACAGTTGTGACAGATTGCACTTGTCTAGGGGACCTAATTTCTGGTCATGGTGCCTACTTATTGGTAAGACACTTTTTTCTCATTTACTGCAACAAGTTCCAAGTAATTACTGTATATTTCCATGTATAAGGCGACCTTTAGATAAGAAGACAAAGTCAAAAAATATAGCAAATTTTCATGAATTTATCCTATACCTGTAATATAAGATGACTGTTTACTGATTAGACAAAGACGATGGTTATTGGAAATGTTGGTACTTACTGTATCCTTATGTTGTGGCCAGTTTATGGGCCAGAAAAAAAAGACATAGAAGACAAAGATAGGTTGAATAAATGTATTGAAATAACAGATATATACAAAGCAAGTGTGAGTAATAAGTAAATAGAAGTGTCCATCCGAATGATCAGGTTACACAGCATCTCAGCTGCCCAACAACTGCTCAACGACTACCCACATGCACACACCGGAAGTCTTGCAGGTTAGTATTTATGAGGAGGAAGAGTTCACTCTACTGTAGGTAGGCTACTACAACACCTTAGAAATTCAAAATAAACAAAATAAGAAAACCGATTCTATATCATGTTTTTCCTACAAACGACCCCTAAAAGGGAAACCATTGTTTTGTTTACATTTTATCACGTGATCTCTTGCAAATACTGATTCCTCTTCTATATTTAAACAGTTACAAACAGCCTGGTGGACTAATGGCCATTTACTTATACTTCATCAGCAAATATAAAATATTGCTAATAACAGTAAGATAATATTAAATTCCATTGCTGTAAATAGGCAATTTATTATGAAGTTATGCCAGTAATATATAAGGTAGAAATGGTTTTATTACTTTTATTATATGTTTATTTGGTAATGTTTATCTTTTTATGTACGTTATTGGTTATCACACCAAGTCTGATGTTAGCTTACTGACAATCATCACTCACAATTTAAGGTTTCTTTTTTAGAATTGTAGTATAAGGCACCCATGTTTTTCTTATACACGTGCCCTAAAAGGGAAATCATTGTTTTGTTTACATTTCATCATGTGATCTCTTGTGAATATTGATTCTTCTTCTTCGGTTTCTTCTTTTCCTATATCTAAAAAGGTACAAACAGCCTGGTTTACTAATGGCCATTTACTTATACTTCATCGACAATCACAAAATGCCACTAATAACATTACAGTTGTATGTCATCCTAAATTGTGTCCTAAATATCATTTTGGTGTTAAATAATAATTTAACACCAAAATGATATTCGATTTTTAATGAGAAATGAATATTATGTTATCGTAAATGTTATTACTGATGTAATTAACACTGCCATGATGATTATTGAAAGTTTAGTGAAAGATAAAGATGGCTGTGAATGCAATGAGAACTAGATGTTTACATTTTCTCAGCTGAGCTTGCATGAATACAAGTTGTTGTAGAGTAGTTTAACAGTGGAGGCTTGTATTTCACTAAGTCGGTCCTTAAATAGGTTCGATGTACTAAATGTTAGGAACTTGATATAATATTTAATGATGCAGCAATCTAGTTGTGGTGGCTGATACTTTAATATCTGACTAATGGTTGTCCGACATCGACTGACTGACCAACTCACTGAGCTCCTGGCGACTGCTACTACTCCTACTTAAGTGGGAGAGTCTATTAACAATAGAATAGGTGGGTTCCAGTACAACACAAGTTGATAGTCGTTGCTTAACTCATCGCATCTGTGTTTGTAAGGGTGCAGGTCTTGAAACTAAAATAATGTTCTTATTGATAGAATTATGCGGGGTTGGGGTGGAATATGAATAAAAATTTCAGTTATAATTGTGTATAGAGAGGAAATGTTTAAAATGTATGTAAGTGTAAGTGTTCTCAAAGCAAATTTGTCGCAGATTACTTTAACAAAGTGTGTAACCAGTCAGGAAAATAAGTCACTCTCCCAGCAAACGCCGTAGCCAAAAATGCCTGAATTTTCCTCCATTTCCAAAATGCTGTCCATGTCTTCGTCCTTTGGTCGAACTCTGCGCTAAAGTCGGGCTCGTTGATCTTCAACGTAGCACAGATGGGCAGATCAGAAAACTTGACAACCCGCCTCTGTAATCGTGACGCCGCCCAGCTCCTTAATAATGTCCATTCCAAGAAGCAGATCGAAACCTAATAACGCACTGTCCACGACCAACACACTGACTGTGACAGGGTCACCGTTGTTGATACTGAGTTTGTTGTCTCATCCCAGCCAGAAGTGACAGCAGTCACCCTACGTTTAATAAATGCAGTTGCAATGCGGATCCACCCACCCATGGGAAAATGTCCCACCAGCTTTCCACATAAAAAAACACGCCGCGCGAAGTCATGTATTTGGGAATGTCCGGGAGCTCGCTTCCACGCTTCCAGTAAACATGTTGTGCTCCCCCAGACCTGCAAGTCGAGCAACACGAAAGCACCATCCTCCAGTCGTTTGGGTTCTTAATTCAAGCCCAAAGTCAGCAAGATGCTTTCTCACCTGTGAAGCGGGTACTAAGGTTTCGTTGATGTAGATGTCGTCAATGTAAGCTGACGTCGCTTGACGAATTGTCTGATTATTACTTTCACTACAATGTAGAAACAGTAAATTCTAAAATTTCTGGCATCTGACATTCTACATTTGACAGCTTTGTTGATTTTGTTCAGTTTTCTAACATTTTTTTTTTTCATTAATGTTGTCTTTAAATATCACATGAATATTATAAATCATAAATATCACACACTGCAACAACGGAAGACTCATTAAGAAAGGTGAGCTATTATCAGAACCTGGGTACAAATTTATTATGGAAGACAGTGACGTTTTTATATATTCTCATCTTAGTCTATTGACTCCTATCTTAGCAGCAAGTCCAACCAGTCTGACAAAATAAAACTGGCAGCAGCTCTTGAAAAGGATCTACAATCAGTGGGTAACAGGAAGAAGGAATGGTGTTTAAATTTTAACACCTTCAACACAAAACTATTTTCATTTAATCACCACAGAGAACCTTTTCTGTCTTCAAACAGCATGACTGATGCTAACCTCCAGGAGAGCAACTCTTTCCACCTTCCTGGGCTCACCTTTCACTGACATGAAATGGAGTAATTATATTGGATCAATTGCCAGACCTACTCCTAGGAAAATTGGTTTACTCTTTCGTGCCAGACAATCCATCTTGTACATTTATAAATCTACCATTCGCCCATGCATTGGATATTGCTGCCAAATTTGGTCTGGTGTTCATACTATAATCTCATGATTCTTGACAAAATCCAAAGAAAAGCTGGCATCTGATCTTCAGTCATTTTGTCACTGCCATGACGTGACATTTTACAAATATTTTCATGGCAATTGTTCCTCCTTACTGCCTCAAATGCATGAATTTAAGCATGCTACTAGATTGGCAAGTAGGTCTCACCATTTTACTGTTGAATGAGATATATGTGACCCTATGTTCTATTCTAAAAGTTTCTTTTCTCACACATGCTTACTCCTGATTTCTTGCTTTGCTGATATCTACAATCTTCATAAATTTAAATGCAATGCCAATCACCTGAAGCCTGTTCTTTTATTGTCTTTTCTCTTCATTAAAGTTTTCTCATTCTCTTTCATTCCCAGGAATTCCTTGTATTTCAGTGGCCTTTTCGCCTTTCTTAATGTGAAATGATTTTTTTTAGATATTACTTTTATTATTGTCAGATTCATTACAAAAAATGACAAATACCTTCAGTGTTTGTTTTGTAAACAATCTCTTTTGTATTCATATAATCCTTTATTTAAATTCCTCAAAGTCTCACCTATGTATTTTCTGTGGCAATCATTACAGTCAATAGTGTAAATTCCTGTTTTCAGTTTTAGGTTATTCTCATTAAATGTCTTTTATAGCTTTAATACTTGTAACAAATTTTATGCTTTCCTCTTTGCATTAAACATTTTCCACTTTGTCATTCAATTATTCAACATTGTTCTGATGTATAGAAATTTATACATCTCATATTCGCACCAATTTTATTATGAAGACATTGACTTGCATAATTAATCATTTCTCCCTGTTGTGTTGTTCTACGACGCATGATCAGTAGTCAACTTCTTGATGCATTCAATCAAATGTAATTGAATCAATTCATCCTCAAAAGTCAAATCTTAAGTTCCAAGTTTCTCAGATTCACAGAATCTGCTCACTTCTCTTGATCTGTGAATATATTGTATAACTGATTCATCTTGGTTCTGTTTAATGGACAGAAATTTGGTTCTTTCTGCTATTTATTTTCACGGCTACTGCTCCGACAAGCTACTTTCACTGGTTCCTAAACTGCATAAATTTAAACGTGCTACTAAGCCATCTCTTCTACTCCAACAGCTTCTTCTCTCATACTTCCCATCTGTGGAACTCCCTTAGTCTTACTTGGTTACCCAATAATTATAATCTTCAAATATTCGAGTGTAATGTCAATCGACATCTTTTGATGCCTTGATCTTGTTCTCCATCCTTCTCTTTATCCTTTCCTCAAACACACCTCTTTATTCTTGCTCTTACCCTCTGAAACCCCTTCTGTGTTAGTGGCACTCCCAACTTGATTGGGGATAAATGCTTAAAAATAAAAAATGACAAGTTTCTTTTTTAGTCGTAAACTTCTTTTTATAATTTTTGAAAGTTTGATGAAAGTCAAATTCTCCAATTGTTTGGGGTTTTCCATAACAGAAATTTTCATAACACCTTCACAACCTGCCAAAACTAGAAAGATGTTGGTTATTTCATTTTCTCCCGCTTCTGCCTGGTTGTCATTCAGTTTTTTAGTCCTAGCCTGGGCTACAGAACATTGAATCCAAGTTTCAACAAATTTAAAACATACTATCAGCGACACCATATTGTTGTATTGTGTAGTTCTACAACACATGATCATTATCTGTCTATATTTCTGAGATGCGGTATTATGTACACTATTTATATTATTCGGAGTATTGTCCTCATCTTTGTCGCCATATTATTTCAACGTTTCACCCCTTCAGTATCTGTCTATATTTCTGAGATGAGGTATTATGTACACTATTTACATTATTGGGACTATTGTCCTCATCTTTGTTGCCATATTTAGTTTAGGTGGCCAGCTGTACCTCCGCCTTCTTCAGGTGGTTGGAATGTTGAACTGAACCTTTATTTCACCACTGAGGTAGATTGTTCTAGTTCCATGTGCCATGTTTTAATGGATGTCATTATCAGTTATTTCCTGTTAATTCCCCTGTTCAATTTCCCCACTACCACTAACTGGCATTGAACTCACACTTTTGGGTCCTGTCACTGGATTGACTATGTTTTTATCCGATTGTGCCATGTGTCCTCAAGGACACATGACACAGTGGATAAAGGCAGTGGAGAACTTGGAGAGGGAATTAACAGGAGATAACTGATAACTGACATCCATTAAATATGGCACGTGAACAGTCTACCCCAGTGATCGAAATAAAAGGTTCAGTTCAACATTCCAACCACCTGATGAAGGCCGGAGCGTACAACGGCTGAAACATTGTAATAAATATGGTGACAAAGATGAGGACAATAGTCCGAATAATGTAAATAGTGTAAATAATACCTCATCTCAGAAATATAGACAGATACTGAAAGGCCGAAACATTGTAATAAATATGGCGGCAAAGATGAGGACAATAGTTCGAATAATGTAAATAGTGAACATGTGATCAGTAGTCAACTTCTTGCCTTCTTACTATCCACTATATAACTCTTCTACTTAACATGTGCAAAGACATACAATACTATTTACCAATCAACTACACCTCGCAAGCACAGTAATAATTTGACTTAGATGCAAAGGTTTACTGAGAGTAAAAGAGAATAAGATGACAATTTTGATGAGAAAAGACTATAAAAGAACAGGGTTCAGGCCGACTAAAGATGGTGATTGACATTGCATTTAAAAAAAAAATGTAATTGGCAGGGAAGCAAGGAACCAGAAGAGAATTCCACAGGCAAGAAGTATGAGAAAATAAACAGAATAGAACTTACGGTTACATCTATTTCAACTGTAAAACATTGGGACCTAGTTGCCAATCTAGTTGTATGCCTCAATTCATGAGGTTGAAGTATCAAGGTAGAAATTTCATTAGAACAATTGCCATGAAATTATTTATAGAAAAGATATAGGGAGGCCATGTCTCAGCAGTAGAAAAGTGACTGAAGTCAATGTAACTGTCATGCCAAAAAGGACCCCGCTGGAACAAGGCAGTCGTCTCTTGTCTGTTCCCTTGGGCCCCACTGCCAAAGCCTTCAGATACATACATTTTATAGACCATGACGAAGCAGCCAATTGTTTGAGTGAGAGAGTTTTACATATGCGTAGGTGTACTCTGCCAATTCACCCTTCCTTCAACTGTTCTGCAACACCATACTCATGCAATGCATGGGCATTTTCAGGCATGATGTCACGTATCTTGCTCACGACAATCACAGTGAAGATGCCAGGTAAGGATTGATGATATTGCAGGACTTTCTTTGGATTTTGTCTAGAATTTCTAGATATATTACAGGAGTTTCGGACCAGATATAGCAGCAATATTTGACAAATGGTAGGGAGAATAAGTCATTTAGTCACAATCTCTGTCTTCAGCAAATGATTTCTTATTGTAAAGTTGGATAGTAATTGAATTCATATGTATTTGTTAAGCCTTACACCTTTTTTTTTCTTTTGTAGGTGTGATTATTGGTGGCCTAGGTGTAATTTATTATAGCTCAGGTATGTACACTTTCTGAATAAATGACACAAATTTGAGTCTTGATTATTTGTTTGTTGCACAAGTAAAATGTGACCTTCCAAAAATTTTCTATTATTCAAATGTTGACCCTCAGAAAATTGGTATAAAAACATGACTGTTTCCAAATATGGAATTGTCCAAATATGGTCAAAGAGCCTTAGATTTGTTTCAGCATATAATTTTATATACCAAATACGGCTGCAAGAGTAATAAATGAAAACCAAGCACTGAAAAAGAGACAAGATATGTTAAAATAAAAATTATCTGTTACAAACTTTGACCTTTGTGCCTGCCAAAAAAATAAAAGGATGGTTTTTCAATTGTCACTGCAATTTTAACTATTAGGTTGGTGCAAAAATAATGTCGTTTTTTGACGTTCAACTTCAAAAGATCATAACTCCTTTCATAATAAACTTTATTAATCGAAATAAGAACCATTAGAATCGACACATTTTTGCCGAGAAACAAGTTTATTTATCCCATTAGCATAGAAATCCGGAGTTCTGGAAACGATGAAGTCATTGAAGGCCAATTCGGCATCATCTCGGCTTTTGAAGCATTTTTCACGCAGGAAGTTGTCGAGATGCTTGAAAAAGTGATAATCGGTGGGTGAGAGGTCCGGTGAATATGGCGGATGAGGCAGAGTCTCGTAGCCCAATTCGTTCAGCTTCTGCAGGGTCAGTTGAGCAACATGCGGGTGAGCGTTGTCATGGAGGAGAATTGGTCCCTTCATATTGACCAATCTTGGGCACATACGTTGGAGCTTCTGGTGCATTTCGTCAATTTGTCTCCGCCGTAATTGTTTCGCCCAGATTCAAGAAGCTGTGATGGATGAGACCGGCCGCAGACCACCAAACAGTCACCATAACCTTCTTTTGGTGCAATTTCAGCTTCAGAAAGTCTTGTGGGGCTTCTCCGGCATCCAACCACTGTGCCGAATGTCGTCGGTTGTCGTAGAGGATCCACTTCTCATCACACGTCACAATCCGCTCGAGAAATGGGTCGTTTTTGTTATGCAGAAGGAGCGTAGAAGACACCTCTAAAGGACAATTTTTTTGATTATCGTTCAATTCATGCAGCACCCATTTATCCAACTTTTTTGACTTCCCTATTTGCTTTAAATGGTGAACGACTGTTGAGTGGTCGACCTCGAGTTCAACAGCAACTTCTCATGTGGTTTTGCGAGGATCAGCTTCAATTAAGGCTTTCAAATGTTCGTTATCAACCGCAGTCGGCCGTCCGCGACCGTCTTCATCTTCGAGGCTCTCGTCACCATTATAAATTTCTTGAAACCAATTGTAGCCACATGTTCGTTAGTGGTTCCTGGGCCAAATGCATCATTGATATCACGAGCTGTCTCAGCAGCTTTTCGGCCTAGTTTGAACTGGAACAAGAAAATCGTGCAGATTTGAATATTGTCCATGCTGTCGAAAAGCCTGCAAAAAAATGAATGAAGAGATTGAGAACGGTAACGAATAACATGATTCGATAGAGCGAAAAACACACTTCAAAATGATATATAACATGGCTATATATATTAATGAATTAATTCAGAAATCATATATATAAGTAACATCTCAAAAAGGCCCTGATAACTAAGTCCAGCTCCAAGCTGAAGAATGAGGAAAGACTGGCAACTGGCAATCATATCCAAATGTGGAAAAGGCTATGGAAGTAAATCCTAACAGAAAACCCAGATTTGAGATATGGATGCAGTTGACTGTCAACACGGACAACTTTCCGGAAACTCATGCAGTCAAGCTGCCTCCCACCCAAATGTAATGCCATGTATTCCTTTAGATCTTGTCGGTACGGCCAGAGGGAGGGGTATGTAGTCTGTGCAGTCCATGATTTGAGTCAGGGACTGGGCAATGAAAAAATTTAATGCCTGAACACTAACAACATTAGTCCCTTTGAAATGTTTAAGCCACATGTCATGGTGAGCATTAAAATTACCAAAGACAAAAATGTTTGCAGATGGGTGGAGAGAAAGTGTTGTTTCTATACTGTCATCAATTATATCTAATATACTGCAGTCCTGGGAAGAGGTGGGGGCAATAACGGAAAAAGAGTTAGCTGACAGAGTTTAATAATGAAAAACGGAAGCACATGAAGGAGTAGTTTGAGGTTTCAAGAGATAATTCCCTGGCCATCGGAAGGTTATACTGGATGTAAACACCAAGGCCATGCATGTGAATGCTGGAATCTTTTTGGCAAAGGGGAAGATAGCCTGAAATCACAATTTCATTGGTAGCAATGGAAAAATTTAAGTTAGCTTCACAAGGGGTAAAGATATCTACTGACCGTTCCAGGAGGAAAGATTCTATACTGCAAAAGTTCGGACAGATACCACAAATGTTAGTAAAAATCTGAGGACAGGAGGTAGGTGATTTTTTTCTTTGTTTGTTGGCTTAGTTGTGTTTTCCATGAAATTTGTTTTGAGGAGATAGACCACCATATTTGTCACTCTCTGCCATCACTGGTAATACAAACCAGCCAGAGTGTGGTTGAGAGCAGAGCATAGTGTGGCCTCAGGGTTGCCCACCAGAAATACATGCAGGTACACCTACCCATCCACGACATGGCACTACAAATAGCCCAATATTATGCAACTCTTGATCAGCGCAACCTAAGTGCTACCAAAAAGTTTGGGCTCCTAACAACCACTCAGAAGCAACAGCCAGAAAACTACCCACCCGGTACCCTTACAATAGAAAGTCACAGCCACTAGTTAGCCTGATCTCAAAAAAGTTAAGACTGGTAGAAGAAAAAGAGGAAACCAATAAATTAATCCTGAACAAGAAACAAGGGATGACCCTCTACTCCTGTTCAACAGAAATGGACAGAGTTAGGGACGGACAATAGATGAGCCTATCTAATCCTATTAACCAAAACAAATCCTCTATAAATAATAAATTATATATTTATGATTTAAATAATACATTATATATTTATGAAAAAAAAAGTTGTTTTTTCTTAGGGTTTTTTTTTTTTTTACTGTTGTTGCAACTGCTGCTGTTAATCTGATTACATTATGCACCTTTAAATTCCTTGAGGAACATATGGCCGCAAGATATCATTGTGGTTTCTATAACAAGCCAGTTTTTTTGGGTTTTTTTTTAAGTGAGTAGGTTGTGAGCCTACTACACAACCCCCGACCTGGAGGATCAGATTTTGAATTCAGAGTTGTCCTTCTCCTAGACCAGTTGCCACCCAAGGCAATAGAACCTGATCTGTCCTGCTATTTACCCATAGCTGAGGGGAGAAGAGGATTCATACCTTTCTAAAGGGTATTAGCACATAAGTGAATGTAATGGATTTGAATGGAATTCGAACCCTGCTCTCCAATTCTTCAGTCTGAGACACTCTCCATTACTCCAGATTAGTTGTTAATTAATTAAGAAATATTGTTGTTGTTGTTACCATCACTAGTCCTATCAAAAAAAATTTAATGGAAAAAAAAAAAGTTAACATTAACTTACAGTTTAGAATTCATACAAAGGATAAGGTATCTGAGGCGAATAAAGAAAACAGTAACCAGCGAGTAAATTCAAGCTCTCCCAGCTGGTATTTCAACCTTGAGTCATTCCTTCTTGAGTTCTGTCTCAAAATCACACTAACAGACTGTTCTTGCCGCCAACCGTGGACGTCACTCAAAGAACTGCCCCACTGGGAAAAAAGTAGTTGCTTTTATATTTGTCCATATACCCATAATCCCTTGTGTCTTCATGTGATCCCATAATTCATTGCGTCCATGTCCCATAATGCATTGCATCGTTATTGCATAAAATGCAATGCAAGTCCCCCCTCATTCTTTTACGTTATCTGGCTGAGGACGGATTACTTACAGAGCGGTAAGTGCTTTTTTTCTCCCTCATTTCAACTGCAGTAGCTTTTACATGCTAAGCAACACGGGCTCTTTTTATGGGACAAGGCAAGTCGCAACCAGTTGTGCTCGTCCCAGGTTCTGTCTCATGTCCGCCACAGTATCACATCTATAAAAGTCAAGAAAATAATAATAATAATAATGTTTACTATTTTTTCAGATAATAAGATTAAGGGAAACATCCCTACAAATTGGAAAAGTAAATAATATTTTACTTATTGATTAATTTAAACAAAAGCAGTGATTTATTAGAGTATATTTTTAAAAAAAATACATTAATAACTTATTTGTTTGCAAAAATTTATATATATATATATATATATATATATATATATATATATAATAGAATTTAGAGAGAGTGTAAGTATGAGAATGTTAGATCTACACTCTCTAAATTCTATTTTTATTTCGGAGTTGTTTTTTTCTGTTTTCTTTTTGAATTTGTAGGTCTGATGAATTGGATCGTATTTACGATTCCAATGGAATAAATTATGACCATGGAATATTAGTGTTTAAACCTTTTTATTATATCCTTACTCTGTCCTGGACATTGAGTTCTACCTGGATTCTATCCTCTTGGAATTTTTATTAAAAAAATATACATGTATGTGTATGCACCTATGTATATGTGTATATATATATATATATATATATATATATTTATATATTTTGCATATGTATGTGTATATTTACCACTAATATTAGCTATATATATATATATATATATATATATATATATATATATATATATATTCGACTCTCCCATTGAATTCAATGTATGAGGGTCAAGCAGATCAGTTCCTAAGAATCAACGGCCCAATACCAGCACATGAGATTTGATTATAGTCGTGAAGGCTTTGTGCAGGACCATCTACACATTTTGAAGGGCCAAATACAGAGACCTGGTGCACTACGTACCACAAGGTCCACAAATGACCCTCCACAGGTTTTAAATTCAGAGTTATCCTTCTCCTAGACCAGTTGCCATCCAAGACTATAGAACCCAGTCTGTCCTGCTATTTACCCATAGCTGGAGGGAGAAGAAGAGGATTAATACCTTTCCCAAGGTTTTTAGCACGTAAGTGAATGTAATGGATTCAACTGGAATTCGAACTCTGCTTTCTGATTCCTCAATCTGAGCTGCTATCGACTAATCCACCATGCTGCATATATATATATATATATATATATATATATATATATATATATATATATATATATATATATATATATAACTTTATTCATCTATCTGTATATTCAGTTATTTATTCACTGAACCCATTGAAATATCTACAACTAATATCATAGTTTTTAAAAGTAACAATCTAAGGAATATATGAATAAAACAAATCAGAAAACTAGTTGATTAGTCAATCAAGATCATTAAAAGAGAAACAAATATATTAAGAAGAAAAATTCATATTTATGTTAAAATAGTAGTAAAAATAACAAAATTTCATATTTATATTTTTAAAGAAAAAATGTTAAATTTTCAGGAACTTCGAAAAACTTACCATTCCCATTGTAATTCAAATCATGTCTTCTAACCAGGTGATTCCAATTTAAAATCAAAAAAATTTTCTCTGATCAAGACAATCATCCTTATCAAGAATCCTGATAAGTAATTGAAAAAATTACAAAACTCTGAGTCGACCTTCAACAAACATTAAATGTTTTTATATCTCACTATTTACATTATTCGGACTATTGTCCTCATCTTTGTTGCCATGTTTATTACAATGTTTCGGCCGTTGTACACTTCGGCCTTCCTTAAGTGGTTGGAATGTCGAACTGAACCCTTTGTTTCTCACTGAGGTAGACTGTTCTAGTTCCACGTGCCATGTTTTTAATGGATGTCAGTTATCAGTTATCTCCTGTTAATTCCCCTTTCCAAGTTCTCCACTGCCTTAATCGGGTATTGAACTCACACTCTTTTGGGTCCTGTCACTGGATCTAACTAACGCCTTTATCCACTGTGCCATGTGTCCTTAAGGACAATAGTCCGAATAATGTAAATAGTGTACATAATACCTCATCTCAGAAATATAGACAGATACTGTTTTTATAGCAAGGCAATAAGATGGAAGATGTTACTGTGTGTGAGAGAATATGAGAAAAAGAAGATCATTAAGGAAGGAGAGCAATAAAAGAACAAGAATTAAGAAAACAAAAGATAATAATCGTCATTGCATTTAAATTTTTGATGATCAAAGTTGACTTGAAAGCAAGAAGCCAGAAGAGTATTCCATAAGTGAGAAGTGTTATAGAAGAAACTGTTAACCTAGAACTTACAGTTCCATCTAGCAATTTCAGCTATAAAATGATGAGACCTATCTGCCAATCTAGTACTGTGCTTAAATTCATAAAGATGAGGTATTAAAGAAGAAAGCTCATGAGAACAATTACCTTGAAAATATTTATAGAAAAAACACAGGAAAGCTTTGTACGAAAGTGACTAAAGCCAAGATGCTGGGTCATGACCAATAACATTACAGATTCTCCTTTGCATTTTATTAAAAATCTCTAAATACATAGCAGAAGCACTTGACCATATCTAGTAGTAATATTCAATGCATGGATGAATGGTGGACTTATATAGGTACTAGCAGCATGGCCCGGCGTTGCCCATGCTTGATTCAAAAATCGTATATCCATACAGCAATCACTATCACTTGACTTAAAATATTTTTGCCCTTTTTGCCTTTTTTAAAGGAGTGCCTTTGCCGTGCTGATGTTGCTATATGCCTTACTTCTTGCCTATCTCACACTGTGAATTTTTCTAAGCTCTATACTAAACATTAAATTTATTACTGAAAAAAGAACTAAACAAAATGAACACAAAACGATCAGCTTCAAAAAGGACTCAGAACTGGAAAAACCGATTGAAAAAAGAATGTTAACAAAAATTTTTTCACACCCAACCCAGTTCTCATGGAATCAGAATCAACGTTGAGTTTAAGCAAGTGAATGAGCCAACTGGAGTAAAGTGCCATACAGATTTAAATTTTTCCCACTTGTGACAAATGCAGCTATCGATTTTTTTTTTTTTTTTTTTGCATGCTCTTTAATTAGCATTCGTGTCAGTCAGCTGTTGGCTCTCATGTTGGCCAATAGAATCTTCTTGCCTATTCATGGCAGCCAGCTATTGGCTCTCACTCTGGCCAGTAGAAAATGGCTGCAAATTACATGAAAACTGCCATAGAAACATGAAAAAATCAATTATTTCCACTATCGATGAGAGTTGGGAAATGCAAAGTCAGTCTTGGCCTTTCCACTAACTTGGAGCATGTGCATGTAAATTTTGGTGCAAATCCATCAAAATGCATTTGTTACACACACATCCTGCCTTTTATAGATAGAGATGTATAATTTTTTAAATTAATCTGGAATCCTACTTTTTTTTCTATTTTTTTTTTCAGGTAATATATTATGGGAGATAATATGTCTGCTTGGAGCCCTTCTCTGGGGACTGACAGGAATGGAGGACTGGGAAGTAAGAAATACTTTCTTATTTAATTGCTAGCATGATGGCTTCATGTTGCCTTAAATGTTTACCTAATACATTCTTTCATGTCTATGTTATATGATGTCTACTTATGTGTACCTGTAATAGGCTCTATTTTCTTTTATTTTAGTTTGGGTATGATACCCAGGACTATGTCCAGCAGCAAGGCCTTTTATCAGGAGATTGGAGGTTTTGAGGAGTATGGTACCACCTCTTAATTGCTGTTGTTCCCAAGTCCACTCTGATCCAGGGTCCCAGCTATGGGCAAATAGTAAACCCCCAAACAAAAATAAGGCAAAATGAAAGTATAAAAATAGATTTTTATACTAAAATTACCAGCAATATATTTTTATATAAAAAAAAAATTACTAGCAATACATTTTTATATAAAAAATTGCAAACAATACCTATTTATAGTAAAATGCCCTACAATACATTTTATCTTTTAATTGAGAGCATGCAGTTGTGTTCAAAATATTTAGATTTCCGCATTAAATAACCCATAGAAGCCGATATGCTAAACAAAATTAACCAACCAAAATTGAAGGCATACAATTGCATTCAAAATGTATTGAATTGGAGCCATAAAATTGTATTCAAAATATTTAGATTTTGGCATTAAATAACCCATAGATGTGTTGATATGTCACTAAACAAAATCAACCAACCAAAATTGAAGGCATAAAATTGCGTTCAAAATATATTTAATTGAAGCCATAAAATCGTGTTCAAAATATTTAGATTTCAGCATTAAATAACCCATGGAGGTGTTGATATGCCGCTAAATAAAATCAACCAACCAAATTCTTTTGTCTTAACCATATGGAAGTAATTAAAAATGAAAATAATAAAAATATCTTTCTTAGAGACATTCAGTAAAAGATGAAGGATTTTTCTCTTCCAATTATATATGAGTGCTGAAAAGTTCTCAACCTGACCAAATACCCAATTTTTTTTTATTTTTTTTTTTTTAGGGTTTCTTGCTTTGATCAAAACCTATTCAGCTTGCCTGAGTGTGTGTGTGTGTGTGTCTCGATAGTGTAATTGTTAACATTGCAGAAACTGAAATTACCGACCTGAGGTTCAAATTCTGACCAAATTTTTTGTCATTCAGTTTGGACTAATCCCCTTGAAAAAGGCAAGAATCTATTGGGTTGGTGCATAATTATCAAGCGTTTTTGTAGGCGATTTATTTGTTAATAAAAATTGCTGTTTTGTTTACTTTTTTTAATAAAAATATTATTTTATTTTCAGGTTATAAAAATGTGTCTCGATAATCATACTCATATCCATCATATTCTGCTTTACCCTTTTGAAAAAGGATGGAAAGCAGTGCAGTCATTTTGCAATCTCAACAAACTTTTTGGCAAAGGAACAATCAGCGAAAGTTGATGCAGGGAATGGTTTGCCCATTTCAAATCTGGTGGCATTAGCTTGAAAGATAAGTCAGGAAGAGATTGACCATTGAATTTCAACAACCAGGCACTTTTGGCATCTATGGAAGAGGACGAAAGCTTGACACCTCAAATGGTGGCCGAAGACTTCAACGTGAACCATTCAACTATCGTTCATTGTCTCAAAAAGTTTGGAAAAGTATGGAAATTGACTGGAAGAGTCTCTCACAAACTCTCTGACAACAATAAAGCCAAATATGTCTGAATTTTCACCAATTTGCTGCAACAAAAGGAGCAAGCTCCATTTCTGAAGAATCTTATCACTGGGAATGAATCATGGTTTATCTTGAGAAACATCATAAGAAAGAAGGTCTGCATTTCGCCCGGAGTTTTCCCAAAAGTAATATCTAAAAACATGCACTATATGAAGGCATTGTAGTGTGTTTGGTGGAACAGAAATGGAATCATCCCTTGGGAAATCATCTCAAATAGGATTTGTTATTCGTGGAATGATGACGATGAGTGTCTAGAGTGGCGGATTCCAGACAAAAATAGCAAGCAGCAATTGAACATTAACAGTGATGTCTCCGGCTCAACTTGTCTGCCTTCACGCTGCAATCAAGACGAAAAGACTGCACAAAAAGAACTATATTGTCTTCCACCACGATAATACGTGTCAACATGTTGAGCATCGTGTTGTTGAATGTATCGCCAATAAGGGCTCGGAATTTCTTCCCCAACTGCCATGTTCTTCTATACAAACACCTACTATCACATCAAACGATCACTGAAGAATTGGCAGATGAACAAAGTTTATGCCAATTTGGATAACTTATTGGCTGATGCCAAAGCATAGATTGCCTCCAAGTACTATGACTTTTTGCCTGTGGAATCAACCGTCTTCCAAGCAAATGGGAAGCAGTTATTGAAGTAAATGGTGACTACACTCCGGAATAATCATTTAAAAATGTTATTGTTGAATTGTTATGTTTCTTTTTTCATAATAAATATTGTTTAAAAAACGCCTGATAATTATGCACCAACTCACTATCTTCCTCCAGCTATGGGTTAAAGTGCAGGGCAGACTGGGCTCACTTGCCTTGTGTGGCAGCCAGTCTAAAAGAAGGAAAACTTAATTCCAACCTAAGGAGGACTGTTTGGAGACTTCATGGTATTGAGTGTACCATTTGTCTGTTATCAATTTTTCTGAAAATTGTGGCTGGTTCTACACAAGCCATTACCATTATAATCAAATCATCTGTGTAGTTAAACTGAACTGCTGGGCACTCATATGCCAAAATTGGTGAGCAAGTCCACAGTTATATATAATATTAATTTGTGTGTGTACGTATATATATATATATATATATATATATATATATATATATATATATATATATATATTTCAGAAGTTTCAACTTTCAAAAGTTCAGAGCAGATATAACATTAGAAAGATTTTAGAGTTCCATGAAAATAAGTGGATACAACGTTTAAAAACACACTATACAGCCGGGCTAAACCATAAATATAACAATATAGATAGTACTAATATATAACACTACAAATCAAAACCTACCCACATTTCTCACCCACACAAGACAGACATGCTTACGGAGGTGTTGAGGCCTCACACTTATACACACACCCACACAAACATACACATGCTTACACATATCATACTCACTCATTCCATAAGAACCAAATAACACACACAAACACTTAACAGAGACACATCCCCTCTCCAAGACCAATAAAACTGTCAAACTGACCAGGGGAATTCAGAGCAGCATAGATCCATCCAGCTCTTATCTCAAATAACAACACAAGGAATGTTAAAAGATTCATGTTAAAAAGATAAAAAAATAAAAAAACAAATGAAAACTACATACAAAAGTTCATTTTCTCCATCAAGACATTCATTTCTGTAATTTACTGCTACCAGCAAGCAGAAATATTTCTTCTCCTGATGATGGCCATTTTGGCCACAACTAGTCAAAGGAATCTAAATGAAATAATAATAAAAAAAATGAAAGAATATTAATCTACAACCCAGTGTGTCTGAAGATTTTAATTTTTTAATATTTTTTATTGTCAAAAAAATATATATATATATATATATATATATATATATATATATATATATATATAATGTCCTGGGCAAGACATTAAACTACATCCAACAGCAAGGCCTCTGATCAGGAAGTTTTGAGGAGCATGGAAACACCTCGTAATTGCTGCTGTTCCCAGGTCCACCCTGACTCGGGGTGGTAGCACCTGTTAGGGTCCCATCTATGGGTAAATAGTTTGCACTGGGATGTAAAAATTCTCATGTTGGTGTCTGAGAGCGCCATAAAACCACTGGGAAAGTTGTCTCCCTCAGCCTTCATCTAAGAGAAGGAAAACACCTGCAGTGTTTGCTACCTCAAATGATGTAAACTTCTTCTTTTTGGGTCAAGGAAGCAGTCGCTCTGAGAGTGGGATTGGTTTTGTCCAAAGCCTTTCCTCATTTAAAAAAAAAAAAACTCACGCACAGGCATTGCTTGAAGACTTCAGAATCTTACTGTGTGTCGACACAGAGGCTGATCCTAGCCCCCCCAAAAGGCAAACTGGTTCAATGAAGGTCTCTAATGATATTAGCATCAATGGCAATAAGGGCTCTAGAACTAGTTGTGGAAGAGTCTGGCCTGGCAGGTGTCCCATGGTGCCACAGACTGTGCCTGGTCATCATCCTGCTACTGCAAAAAAATGTAAGCCAATGAACATCGGCTGTTGGAATGTTAAGACGTTGTTTGACTTACAGTCATCTGTCTTGCATCCTGAGCGTAGGTCTGCTCTCATAGCGAAGAAGTTTCAAAGATATGAAATGAGCATAGTGGCACTGAGACAAGACTTGCTAATGAGGGTCAATATACTGAGTTATCTGGTGGCTACACCTTTTTCTGAAATGGTAGAGGGGATGGGTGTAAAAGGGAATTGGGTGTGGCTTTGCCATGAAGACTTCCCTTATTGCAAGCCTAGAAGAATTTCCATGGGGCGTTAGTGATCAGATTATCACAATGAGGCTCCCTTTGATCAAAGATCATTTTGTGGCTCTTGTGAGCATGTATGCTCTGACTATGGATTATTGCGAGGGATACAGGGTCACTTTCTATCTGGCATTACATGAAGTTGTACAAAGAATACCCTCAGTAGACAAGGTTGTCATTCTTGGTGACTTTAACGCTAGGGTAGGGAGAGATTTTGAAACCAGAACTGTGATGGGAAGACATCAAGTAGGAATGTTCAATAGCAATGGGTTGCTATTGCTGCAGTTCTGCTCAGAGATGGGTTTCCAGATCAGTAGTATCATATTTCGCCAGAAGGACAAATTCAAGAACTCTTGGATGAATCCTGGCTTGAAGTAATGGTATATGATTATGTCTCTTGCCTTAACTGGGTATTGAATTCAAACTCTTTGTGGATAAAGACATTAGTTAGCTCCAGTGACAGGACCCAAAGAGTGTGAGTTCAATACCCAGTTCAGGCAGTGGAGAACCTGGAGAGGGGAATTAACAGGAGATAACTGACAACTGACATCCATTAAACATGGCACATAGAACTAGAATAGTCTACTCCAGTGAGCGAAATAAAGGGTTAAGTTCGACATTCCAACCACCTGAAAAAGGCTGAAGCATACAATGGCCGAAACGTTGTAATAAATATGGCGACAAAGATGAGGACAATAGTCCGAATAATGCAAATAGTGTACATAATACCTGATCTCAGAAATATAGACAGATACTGAAGGGCTGAAACGTTGTAATAAATATGGTGACAAAGATGAGGACAATAGTCCGAATAATGCAAATAGTGTACATAATACCTCATCTCAGAAATATAAACAGATACTGAAAGGCCGAAACATTGTAATATGTGACAAAAATGAGGACAATAGTCCGAATAATGTAAATAGTGTACATAATGCTTCATCTCAGAAATATAGACAGATACTGAAGGGCCGAAATGTTATAATAAATATGGTGACAAAGATGAGGACAACAGTCCGAATAATGTAAATAATGTACAGGATACCTCATCTCAGAAATATAGACAGATAATGTTGGACAGATTGCTGAAGCACATTGCTGATGATGTTCTACCAGAGTCTCGGTGTGGGTTCAGAAGTGGGCATGGAACAGTGTATATGGTTTTTACAGCAAGACAGTTGCAGGGGAAATCTGTATAACAGCAAAGAGACTTGTATCATGTTTATTGATCTAACTAAAGCATTTGATACTGTGAATAGAGCAGCTCTTTGGGTGATTTTGAAAAAACTTGGCTGTCCTGACAAATTTGTATCTATACTGAGGCTCTTTCATGAGGATATGAATGCTGTTGTTCAGGGAGTGGGGAACTGACAGAACCAATTATATTGAAAAGGGGTGTGAAACAAGGGGATATACTGGCACCAACATTATTTGCTTTGTATTTTGTGATGGTGTTTTAAGATGGCCTTCGACGATTGTTTTGATGGTGTCTACATCCGTTATAGAACTTCTGGAAGGCTATTTAACATCAGGTGCCTAAATGCAAACACAAAGGTCTTGATGAACCTGGTTCAAGATTTGCTTTATGCTGACAATTGTGATCTTGTGGCTCATACGGAGGCCAAGATTCAGCTCTTGAAGGATGCCTTTGAAATAGCATGCATAGCGTTGGGACTAATAATCAGTCTAAACAAGACAGTTGTTATATACCAGCAAGCACCTACGGAGCCCTATCAAGAACCCAACATCTGTGTATATGGTCAGAGACTGAAAGTTGTCAGGAAGTTTGTGTACTTGGACAGCACGCTAAGGACGGATTATGCATGTGGGCTGTCTGCTCTTCTGTATGCTTGTGAAACTTGGACCACATACAGAAAGCACATAAAGTGTCTTGAATGCTTCCACCAACAATGCCTCAGGAGAATCCTTGGTGTTCATTGGCAAATGTGTGTTAGTGACATTGAAGTATTACAACAAGCCCAGTGTCAAAGCATAGACTCATTTTTCAGTGTTGATTAAGATGGAGTGGGCATTTAGTCAGAATGGAGAATGAACGACTGCCCAAGCAACTCTTGTATGGCTAAATCGTTGGAGGTATGCAGCCAGCTCAGAAACCGAAAATGAGGTACAAGGATTGTTTGAAAACATCTTTAAAGAAGTGTGGTATTGATGTTCGAACCTGAGAGAGCAAAGCATTGGATTGGAGAAAGTGGAGTAGAGAGGTTCATGCAGGAAAAAATTCAAGAAAGAACGGGTTGAACATGAAAAGCTGAAAAGAAGGGGTATGTAAATGAAGCAAAAGACAAAATGGGTAATCAGGTTGGTTTCGAATGTGTTATGTGTGACCAAGTCTGTTTGACCCTAGCTAGTCTGAAAAGTCATGAGAGAATGCATCAATGCCACTTGAGAGCGGGACTGCACGTTACTTGATAATACAACGTGTAATGCATGTGGAAAAGTGTGCAAAAGTGCATCATGGATTAAAAAGACATGTTAAAATACATGGCAACGATGATGCAGTAACTGTTGTCAGAGATGTCCATGTTTGCCATTCCTGTGCCAAAGAAGGTATATCTTTAGCAGGACTTAAAAGCCACATCAGAGCAGCTCATCGATGAGACCTCTTATGGATATTCAAGAAATGGCATTGCTCAAACACAAGTTTGCAGCCATATATATATATATATATATATATATATATATATATATATATCTCAGTATAAGATTGGTGTATACCGAATAAATTCCAATAACCAACGAATACTATTCTTAAAAGAGTGCTCAATACAGAGTAGAGCAAATATAATTATTTATTCAGAAATTATAACATAAATATGTTATAAAATTACTACAAAAATAGCCATTTTGTTTTAACACTTCTGGTGTCTTCTCAAGTGATGGTGTTTAATGTCAACACCATCACTTGATAAAACACCAGAAGTGTTGAAACAAAATGGCTATTTTTGTAGTGATTTTATAACATTTATGTTAGAATTATTGAATAAATAATTATATAAATTAATTATATTAAGAAACAGATGACTTTAAGGGTTCGTGAGGTTATAATTTATTCCTTTAGGACTGGGATTTTTGGTCCTAATTCTTCAGAAATTTAAAAAAATTCTTCAAAAATATAAAATAAAAAAAAAAATTTTTTTTCAAAAATTTTTATTTTTAATTGTTATCAACAATATTAGTTTTTTGCAATTTTTATTATTTTTTTTTATTATTGTTAGTATTCTTTAAAATAATGTTGTTTTAATTGTAAATTGTATTATTCTGTATTCTTAAATTTCACTGTAATAATGCCTGTATGATAATTTGTTCCCCCCCCCACATACACACACTCCTGTTTCTCTATTTGTTTTCTCTTCTGTCTTTTCTCTTTTTTTTTCTTCACCTTCTTTTCTTTGTCTAATTTCCTCTTTTTTTTCCCTGTGAAAAGACTTGATAAATAAGTCAACATGTTTGGTCTCTTATCTTAATAAAGATAGATATAAACATCTTCCTATCTCTCCTTTCCCTCTCTAGTTTCAATCACATATTTATTGTCTTCCACCTCTCTCTCTCTCTCTATCATCTTATACCAACTGAAAACTGCCTCTGCAAACATGTGTGTTCATAAATTAAAAATAATAAAAAGTTAATTTTTAAGCCTGGAAAAATTAGTCACTAATATTTTTGTATGAAAATGGAGATCTGATGAATTAGGACCAAAATTCTGGTCCTAAGGAAATAAATTACAATCCCATGAGCCCTTAAAGTTGTCTGTTTCTTAATATAATTAATATTTGCTCTGTTTTTACATTGAGCTCTCTGGATTACATCCTCCTTGGAATTATCCTCATACAGATTATCAAATAACTTATTAATATATATATATATATATATATATATATATATATATATATAGAGAGAGAGAGAGAGAGCATATTTTTTTCTGTTTTTTTATGGTCTCTAGGTCCATTTTTTATTTTTATATATCACTGAACAACTATAGTTTCAGATAATTTGATCTACTTTGATATTTTTGATGCTTTTTGTTTTTGTTTTTAGGAATGCGTCTTTGACAAAATTTCAGGACAAGTTACAATCCAAAAAAGAAATTTGTTGCAAAAATTACTGCCATCTGTGATGAAACAACCAGTTGGTACGTGAATCCTTTTTCTATGTTTATTTTTACGCACTAGTCAGTTTTGCTACATGTTTTTAGGAACAATATCCATGTAACATGTGGGAATGTTGTCTCCAGTTGTCATTTATAGCCTTGAAATTACAATAAGAGGCAAATTGTATGTTATATTAAATGTCTTTGATGAGTGATATTGTAAATAAAGGTATTTTCTTTTACAGTTTATCGCCCTGAGTATGACGATAAACTACATTCAGTAGCAAGGGCTCTGATTAGGAGATTGGATGTTTTGAGGAGCATAGAACCACATCTTAATTACTGTCATTCCCAAATCCACCCTGACCCAGAGTGGTAGTACCTGTTAAGATAACAACTATGGGTAAATAGTGACCCCTGCTGCAAACAAAAATCAAGAGTACATTTTAACCAACATTACTTTTTCATAAGAAAAATGACAATGCAACACTAAAAACAATATAAAAATACATTTTTATAGTAAAATTACCAAGAATACATTTTATCATCTACAATCTATATATCTAAAAGACATACTTTTACTCTGAAAACATAAAATGACATACAAAATATTTAGATTTTGGAATTAAATAACCCATAGAGAGGTTGACATTCCACTAAACAAAATTAACCAACCTAAATCAACCTGAAAGTATAAAATTATGTACAAAACATTTAGATTTTGGCATTAAATAACTCATAGATGTTGATATACCACCAAACAAAATCAATTCAACAAAACAACCAACATGAAAGAACTATTTCATGTCATTAATCCATATAATATCTTACAATTTCTTAAAGAAATCAAACTGTATTCCAAAATATAACTTCAACAAAACTACAACATAAAACACACATCACCACCTCTAGTAATTATGTCCACACAAACATATATATGCATAAAAGCTGAGTATCATCTACCATGTATTCAATTGTGAAAGCAGAATAACATATATCATATTTTTATTACATCAAAGTTCCCAAGAAAATAACATTCCAGCATTAAATGACCCATAAGGATGTTGATATGACTGTTAAACAATTCAATCAAAATCATTTTATACTTCATTTTATTATGTCATATTAATATCTCTATTGTTATTCTATGGGTATAGGCTATTTACTGTATACAGCAAAAATGGGACATTGTAGCAAGATTTTTATTAGGGTAATACTTTGATAATAATGACCGAAATTCTGTGTAAGTGTTTGCTACAAAAAAATGAAAAGAAAATTACATCAACATTGAAAGAAGAAAAAAAGATTAGTTATTGCTGTGTAACATTATAATACATTTTATCATACTTTTTATAATACTTTTTATTTTATCAAAATATGGTAATAGTGGCCATGAAAATTTTACTTAACCTATTTGAATTTTCTGATGAAACATAATATTTAATAAGTAGGCCCTACAAAATACCAGAGAGAATTCCTCTGTTGCATTGTTACATATTTCAGCTTAACAACTTTAACAAAATATTACAATAATACTCCTAAATATGGAGGCAGGTGATTATTTAAAGAATTAATGGGGGTACAAATAAAAAGATTTAAAATTGACAAGGTTTCTTGAAGCAGATGTTAAACAATTAAGACCGTTGTGGCCTGTTTAGAGGCCAGAAAGAAAGACACGAAAGACAAAGGTAGGTTGAACAAGTATATTGAAATAACAGATATATACAAAGCAAGAGTGTTAGTAATAAGCAGATAGAGGTGTAGGTCCGAATGGTAGGTTAACACTGCGTCTCCGCTCCTCAACTGACGGCCCTAGGAAGTCTTGATGTTAGTATTTATGAAAGGAGGAAGAGTTCATTCTACTGTAGGAGGGTTTACCACACCAATTACCTTCTTTGTCCTCGTTTTTTTTTTCTCACTGAAACCAAGCAGCTGATGTATCTTTTTCCTCAGAACAGAATAGACCATTAGCTTCATAAAGAATGGAAGATCAATAGCAGTTGTTTACATATTTTTATATAGAATTAATCTTTTCACAAAAGCATTCATCTTTCTTCCTCATTTCCTCTTCCATCATAAACATTTCAACAATTTATTACAATTTTTTTTTCTCTGAATTACAAGTATTTATAACAAAAAATTATTTACAACTTGACTAATGATAATTCGTCATCCTAGAAAGCCAAACATGATAATAACAGCAAAGACGAGGATATGAGCCAAACTGTAAATAATGATAATTCCTCATCCGGGAAAGCCAAAACATGATAATAACGGCGAAGACAAGGTTATTAGTCTGATAGTAAATAATGATAATTTCTCACCCCAGAAATTCAAGCAGACATTGGACACCCCTTGAAAAAACAAATTACATATAAGTTGAATCAATCTCCATGAAATTTCTGTCTTTTACCAGGGACCCCACCATTATTTATTTGAAAACATCCCTCACAGAAAGGCTAATAATATTGGGTCAGAACAAAAGAGCATGCAATTTTTTAAAAATGAATTTCAAAGACAATACTTTGATATTTGTACATAGATTTATTTAACTGCATATGTACCATTCTCTGTTAATCCTTGATAAAATCTTAAGAATCTGCAATGTTATTTGTGGTGACTTGACATTGAAATGATCATTTGCATGGAATTACTCTATTTAATGACAAAATATCATTAAGATAATTGTTCATGCAAATGTCATTTTACTACATATAATTTTCTCTGTTTCTCCCTTACTTATCACAACCATTACGTCTTGCCTTTCCAATCTTTAGATTTGATTATGACTCCTCACATTGGACTTGTGAGTAACTGATCATCTGCAGATGACTTTATAAAGTTCTTATTCCTCAATATTTTTATTTGATATAGGGGTCCCACTTGCCATTGGACAAGCTGACTTGCTGACCAGTCCACCATTTAATGCAGTTTGTCATGCATTGAATAGGTTTTGCATGTGCCAATAATTAGCTGTTCTTTTCATTTTCTTCTTTAGGTACAGTTTGATAAAGAAAAAAATAGTTGTGACAATTAGATAGAAGAAAATTGTTTGAATGTCTCTTGAAAATTTACATTAAAGAAATTAGAGTTTATTTTGCTTAGAGTATTGTGTCTTATCATTCATGAACCTTATTATAAAAATGGCTTGGATTTGCCTGAAGATAATGAGAACTAGAGAAGGTTTATTTGGTAAGATGATAGAATTTCTTTCTTTTTTTTTTAATTATCACAAGAATGGATCAAAAGATACGTTTTTTTTTTTTTTTATAATACTGAATTTTGATTGGTTAAAAAATATGTGGTCCTGTCACAGTGTGCTCACAAAGACATTTTAATTTTTTTTTTTTTTTTTAGACATTTTTTTTTTTTTTTTTTTTTTTTTAGAATACTGAATTTTGATTGGTTAAAAAATATGTGGTCCTGTCACAGTGTGCTCACAAGTATACATTTTAATTTTTTTTTTTTTTTTTTTTTTAGAATACTTACATTTTAATTTTTTTTTTTAGAATTAACTTTGGTTAAAAAATATGTGGTCCTGTCGCAGTGTGCTCACAAGTAGACATTTTAATTTTTTTTTTTTTTTTAGACTGAATTTTGAAGTTAAAAATTTTTTTTTTAGAAGTAGACATTTTAATTTTTTTTTTTTAACTTTTGATTGGTTAAAAATTATGTGGTCCTGTCACAGTGTGCTCACAAGTAGACATTTTAATTTTTTTTTTTTTTAGAATACTTTTTTTGGTTAAAAAAACATTTTAATTTTTTTTTTTTAGAATACTTATGTGGTCCTCTCACAGTGTGCTCACAAGTAGACATTTTAATTTTTTTTTTTTTTTTTTTTTTTGGTCCTGAGTGTGCTACAAGTAGACATTTTTTTTTTTTTTTTAGAAAAATTTTGATTGGTTGAAAATATGTGATCCTGTCACAGTGTGCTCACAAGTAGACATTTTAATTTTTTTTTTTTTTTAGAATACTTAACTTTGATTGGTTAAAAAAATATGTGGTCCTCTCACAGTGTGCTCACAAGTAGACATTTTAATTTTTTTTTTTTTTAGAATACTTAACTTTGATTTGTTAAAAAATATGTGGTCCTCTCAGTGTCAAGTAGACATTTTTTTTTTTTTTTTTTAGAATACTTAACTTTGATTGGTTAAAAAAATATGTGGTCCTGTCACAGTGTGCTCAAAAGTAGACATTTTAATTTTTTTTTTTTTTTTTTTAGAATACTTAACTTTGATTGGTTAAAAAAATATGTGGTCCTGTCACAGTGTGCTCACAAGTAGACATTTTTTTTTTTTTTTTTTAGAATTTGATTGGTTAAAAAAATTTTGATTGCTTAGACATTTTAATTTTTTTTTTTTTTTTAGAATAAACTTTGATTGGTTAAAAAAATATGTGGTCCTGTCACAGTGTGCTCAAAAGTAGACATTTTAATTTTTTTTTTTTTTTTTAGAATATAACTTTGATTGGTTAAAAAATATGATCCTGTCACAGTGTGCTCACAAAGACATTTTAATTTTTTTTTTTTTTTTAGAATACCTTTGATTGGTTAAAAAAATGTGGTCCTCTCACAGTGTGCTCACAAGTAGACATTTTAATTTTTTTTTTTTTTTAGAATACTTAACTTTGATTGGTTAAAAAAATATGTGGTCCTGTCACAGTGTGCTCACAAGTAGACATTTTTTTTTTTTTTTTTAGAATACTTAACTTTGATTGGTTAAAAAATTATGTGGTCCTGTCACAGTGTGCTCACAAGTAGACATTTTAATTTTTTTTTTTTTTTAGAATACTGAATTTTGATTGGTTGAAAAATATGTGATCCTGTCACAGTGTGCTCACAAGTAGACATTTGAATTTTCTTCTTTAATACTAATTTTTGATTTGTTAGAAATCATCTTAATATAGTTTTGTCCTGTTGCTGGTTGACTAGGAAAAAAATAAACAAGTCATGTTGTAATCAAATTTCATGACTACAGTCTTCTCCACTAAGTACAATATATACTTGTGTATAATCCAACTTCATGTATAGTATGACCCTTGAATTTTTTGCATGAATTCTAAGCCCTCCATAAAAAAAATTTACCTGCATATAGAGCAACTGGTTAATCAAAATATATGAATTTTAACCTCTTCAAAAATATTACCTGTGTATGGTGTGACCTCCACCATTTTTGCCTAAAAAACTGATAAAAATTCTAGTATATATAGGGTGTTTCAATAACTTGGACCGATTTCAAATGTGAATTAAGTTTAAGCATCTAATGATTTTTTTTTCTTTCAGATTTAATAACTTAAATCTTTGGCAGTTTCAACCATGGAAGGATTAAGAATCAATCAATGTGTTAAAGTTATTGAAGCCTATTACGAAAGTGGATGTTCAAACAGAAATGTATTTCGTGATAATTTAGGTCAACATAATCGACCAACCGAGAATGCAATTGGAAACAGCGTAATGTTGTTGTGGAGAGGTTCAATTCCTACATGTGATGACGAATAGTGGCGTCTGGATTTTCAGCCGCATTCTCGTGCACTGCACCAATGTTTTCAGTTAAATGACGTAAACGAGCACGCAATGGTTTTTTTCACATCTGCCACCGACCCATTCATTTGAATTTACAATTTTTCCAATTGCACTCTTGAAACTTTAACATGTTGTTTGATTGTTAATCTTTACATGGCTGAAATTGCCAAAGACTTAAGTTAAATCTGAAAGAAAAAAAATTCATTAGACGCTTAAACTTAATTCACATTTAAAATTGATCCAAATTATTGGAACACCCTTTACATTAAATCAAAGTTCTCCTTGTGTGTAAATAACAACTAACACAGTATTTAATAGATGAAAACTTTGAGATGTAAGTCTCATGACTCATCTAGATGTCTATGTGGCTGGAAATTAACATTGATTATGCTTCTCTTCTGTAGTTGTGGCAAACTTTGAAGATATCATAAGTGTGAGAGTGGTAGAAAAAGAGTTGAAATATTTCGGCCAGGGACAACAGGTGGTCTTACAGCTCAACACTGGTGTTACCCTTGGGGTCACTGAATCTTTTACGATGGGAAAAATCAGGTACGAGTATGATATTTACTCATTTATATGACCCCCCACCCCTTTTTTTAGCAAGTTAGGGTGGTGAAAAAAGAAATTGCCTCATTCCATTGGCATATTACTGCAGGTATCAGGGAATCATGTTGAACTAAATGGTTTTTGTAAAATGGGGAGGTTCTTTCTGAGAGATGGATAACCACGAAGTAAGTTTATACTTTACAAATTTTGTTTGGATAATTGAATTCCTCTTTCATATCTTTGACGTTATTAACATTTCGTCTAATCTGTTCATCATCAGGTCTATAATCCATAAGTGGGAGAAAAAAAAATAAAACTTTTTTTCTGTTGCCATATTTTGCTGAAAAAACAAGATATCTTTCTCTTAGTGTAAATTAAAATAAAAATCTAGACTACCAGGTACTGTAAGCTTAGATGTGTGGGTGGTGTAAATGGATAATGGCTCAGAATTGTTAATCAGAGAGCCGAGTTCAAATTCTAGTTTGGTTTGTTCTATTCACTTACATGCAAATATTCTTGGAGAAAGGCATGAATCCACCTCTTCTCCCCACTGTCATGGGTTAATTAGTAAGACTTGTATCATTAAATCATTATTGTCTCTCCCACCCAAAAAAAATTCTTACACTCTAAGAATATTTTTTAGCTTTAAATAACCTGCAAAAGGTTGATAAGTCATAAAAAAAAAATCAATCAATTAAAAAAAATGTATGAAAAGATTTATTAGAAAAATATCCACTGTTATAAGGTAAATCACTTGGTGTGTAATCCCCAAGAGTCAACCTAATCAACAGCAACCAATAATGCAACCCTGCATTAGTCTTCAAGTTCCTTCTGACCACTGTGGTTACCATCTAGCTGACTCCTCACTGATTAACATTTTGTCACTGGTATCGTGATTATGGGTACAGTTCCACTTGGCTGGCATTTGTCTGCTCAGGACCATTCACTCCTCTACCCGTTGGGTTTTGATCTCAGCAGGTGAGAAGATTAATGTTGAAGCAAACTGAAGATATGTGGACTACTGGGCGCTACACAAAAAAAGGAATTCTTTGGAATAAAGAATTAACTCTGGTTAAAAATGTAACAATGATGCCAACTGATGTCCAGGGAGTGAAGAAAAGCGTAACTCAAGTAGCATTGGCTGCTTGGACAATGAATGCCAAATGTTTCCTTATAAGGGAACGACTAATATTAGCATTAGAGATGAGGAGAACAGATACTATACTTTGATCCCAGCCCGATGTCCAGGGAGTGAAGAAAAGCATAACTCAAGTAGCATTGGCTGCTTGGACAATGAATGCCGAATGTTTCCTTATAAGGGAATGGCTAATATTACCATTAGAGATGAGGAGAACAGATACTACACTTTGACCCCAGCCTGATGTCCAGGGAGTGAAAAAAAGCGTAACTCAAGTAGCATTGGCTGCTCAGTCAATGAATGTCGAACGTGTCCATATAAGGGAACGGCTAATATTACCATTAGAGATGAGAAGAACAGATACTACACTTTGATCCCAGCCCAATGTCCAGGGAGTGAAGAAAAGCGTACCTCAAGTAGCATTGTCTTCTCAGTCAATGAATGTCGAATGTTTCCTTATAAGGAGACGGCTAATAATACCATTACCATTAGAGATGAAGAGGACAGATACTACACTTTGATCCCAGCCCAATGTCCAGGGAGTGAAGTTGAACACAAGTGGCATTGGCTGCAATATTTATTTGTATATATACAATATGGGGAATGCAGAAAGGCTGGTCTTCTTCTGTCTTAACATTAAACTTAGCTAGCCACAATCACTGACCCAAATGAACCACAATGATCCTTACCCCAAAACCATACTTACAACATCCGGCATCATACCTCAATGTCTCTATGAAGTCCTAACTAGTCCCCACATCTACAATTCTTATCTGTGAAGGGAAGGGTAAAATAACAACAATTTAAAATCTGAACTCCAATGTGTATTTACAACATGAATAAAAAAACTATTGACAAGAAACTAAATAAAATAGTGTTCGTAATATCCCCCCCCAAACGATACTTAATTGTAGCAGAACCATCAGTTAAGTGGATGAAATTAATGCGGGATTTTAATAATATACAACACTCATTCAAACACAACAAATATGAAAATCACACCCGAAACAAAAAGTGCCCTGCATCCACCAGAGAACTAAAGCTTCTGCTCATCTAAACAGGGGAGGGAAGGGGAATTAAACTAAAAAAAATATTGACAGAAATAAAAGGGACCAAATAGCAAACATTCAATAAGTTAACTTAGTGGAAGAAACTAAAAGACAAAAAAACAACCCTAAAATAATCTAATTTATAGCAGGGTTGCCAATGTTCAACAGAGCACTATATCCACATTGCTATGGACAGAACTGGACTCAAGGACAAAAAACTTTCCACACAGCATGCAAACCATGATGCCTTCAATAAACTTGCACAACAGGACTACAAATATGCAATGAAAGAAAACCTGACCCAAGGTCTCCACCTCCCCATCACAGTGAACGCATTTTGGAGATTTCTCCAAGCCAGTCGAGCAAAGCCTTTTGCCGACCCTGAGAGCCATATGACTCGCCAGCCAGGTGAGTGATGCCTCATCATTATTGGGGCATTTCAACCCAAATGCCCACAACCATATTGAGCGGACTTCCTGTTTTGTAAGACTGAGCTCGTCAATTACATCATCTTGTACAGATGCACTAACTAACATTTATAATAATGCCTTTGAGACAATGCCTGGGTGTTGCAGAGGCCATCTGATGCCCATATGAGGTGTTTCAGAGCAATACAACATTCACAATATAAGGAGCACTTGCCTCGGGGTAAACGGGGAGCGGGGAGCTCCTCCTCACATCAGTGCACATATCTCAGGGATGGGAAATTCTTACAGGCATATTCCTCCCAGAATTCGCTCTCCTCATCCGATATGCGACACATTTGATCTCGGAATGCGATTCAAAGTGTATGATGGCATCCTTAGCGGACTTGCCTCCTCACAAGAAGGAAAACAAGAGCCTTACTAATGAAATTAGTGTAGTAGACAGAAGTGGAGTACAGAGTAGGTAAAGGAGAATCAGGTAGATGTCCAAGGCACATATTTCTACCCTCCCCTTTAAGGAAAGATTCCTCCAGGACCACAGTTGAACTGCAACCTCGGCTTTCTCTTGCACCTCCTACCAATTCATTTCCAACAAGAGATCGGGACCAAACCAGATACTGAGTATCTTGACTGGCCCATCTGTCCAGAGGAAATGTTCGGGAAGAGAAACTCCATTCCATGCACCCAACCGTAAGCCCACAGACTTATCGCTGTTGATCTTGTCCCCTGTCACCATCTCATACCCTCTGATTTCTTTGCTGACTTCATCAATCTCAGCTCTGCTCGACACAAGAACCAAAACATTGTCAGCATAGGCAGAATACCTGGCCATCAATACTGGAAAATATGATAACAGCTACTGCATTTGAGAAAGCTATTTTCTTGAAAAATTGTCTTGAATTGAATTTGAATTGTTTTTCATGAAAAATTGAGAAAGATTTTATAAATTTCAGCTAATAGCAGCACTGTTTGGTCAATGAATACTAAATGTTTCCTTGTAGGGAAACAGCTAATATTAACATTACTAACAATCTATTTCAGTCTATTTTTATTTATTTTTCTATCTAACTCTGTTAACTGCTCCGATGAGCTGCTTTCGTTGGTTCTCAGACTTCATGAATTTAAGCATCCTACTAGGCTGGCATCTCGCTCTCACCCTTTCACTGTCGAAACTGTTAAATGTAGCCGTCTCTTCTACTCCAATAGCTTCATGTCTTGCACCTCTCACCTGTGGAACTCCCTCCCCTTTTCCTGTTTCTCTGATAGCTATAACCTTGAACTATTCAAATGTAATGTCAATCGATGTCTCCAGATGCTTTGATCTATTCCCTATCCTTCTCTTCATCCTTTCCTCTATCACCCCTATTTGCTCTTGCTCCAACTCTCTGTAACCCCTTGCATGCTAGTGGCTTCCCGCCTTGCTTGGGGTGAAACGCTTAAAAAAAAAAAAAAGTATCTGTCACAGGCTGTTCATATCTATCTATTTCACTCTTTTCATATCATGGAAGAGAAAATAATGACATAATCCGAACAAAAGGTTAGGAAGGAAACCTCCATCGATACTTGAAAGAGCAAAAACAGCAACTAGACTTGGGAAACCTATTTTTCTGAAAAATTGTTTTAAGAAAAAGATTTCATAAATTTCAACCAATAGCAGCACTGGCTGCTCGGTCAATGAATTCCTTGTAGGGAAATGGTTAATATTACCTTTTACTTCTCATTTCTAAATGTTTAACTCGGTTTTCTTTCTTTTTATTTTATTCTTTTCTCTAGTGACCACCATGCCATTGCCCATAAGATTGAGAGCTTTCTACAACCTTACATCTCACCAATCTCTCCAGATAATGATGGTGATGATTACCTGGGTGACAGTTCATCTTCAGAGGACAGTTTTGAACAGATTGGTCCCCAGGATCTGCTTCCTGACCCCTTGCCATCTATCCCAGACAGTCATTCAGATATTTGAAATTGAATATGACAAAAGCAACACTGGAACATTTTCATAAGCTTTCGACATGATGTATTTTGGGGGTTTACTCTTGTTGCAAGTCAGTATTTTGATCAAACTGGCATTTCTATTTTGTTGAAATTTTATTGCTTCATATCTAAGAAATGTTGAAATATGAAATCTAGTGAAAATGTCACAAGGACTAGTCTTGGTTTTTTTCTTTTTCTTTTTTAATGGCAAGTTTTGGAAAAGCAAGAGAAATATGGGTTTATTTTACTTCAGTACTAAACTTTTAAATGTTCCTGACATAATCGTGTCATTGTCTGATATGAGTGTTATGGTTAACAACACAACTAAATTTTTTATGAATTTAATGACAAATCTAAGAAATCAAAAAAGTAAATAGAAAAGCAAGAGAAATAAGGGAAAGAACTTGAAAAATAATTGACCTTCATCTAAGAAATATCTATTACTACTTGGTGGAAAAGCAAGAGAAATAAGATGAAAGAAATACTTGAAAAATGAATTAATTGACAAGGCTTTCTAAGTTCTGGAAAAGCAAGAGAAATAAGATGAAAAGAAAACTAGTGAAAATGAATAATAATTGACAAGGCTTCATCTAAGAAATTTCAACTTAAGACTATTTTTGGAAAAGCAAGAGAAATAAGATGAAAGAAATACTAGTGAAAAATGAATAATAATTGACAACATTTTAAGACTATTACTAAGTGGAAAAGCAAGAGAAATAAGATGAAAGGATATAAAAAAATAATAATTGAATTCATCCTTGGTGGAAAAAAAGAAATAAGAAAAACAAGTGAAAAAATGAATAATAATTGACAAGGCTTCATCTAAGAAATTTACTTGAAGGCTTCATCTAAGAAATTCAGACAACTTAAGACTATTACTCTTTGGAAAAGCAAGAGAAATAAAAATACTAGTGAAAAAAGAATAATAATTGACAAGGCTTCATCTAAGAAATTCAGACAAAAGAAATAAGATGAAAGAAATATTAGTTAAAATGAATAATAATTGACAACTTAAGACTATTACTTCATCTAAGAAAATTGAAAAAGACAAATTGACAAGGACTATTACTACTTGGTGGAAAAGCAAGAGAAATAAGATGAAAGAAATACTAATGAAAATGAATAATAATTGACAAGGCTTCATCTAAGAAATTCAGACAATTTAAGAAAACTTGGTGGAAAAAGAGAAATAAGATGAAAGAAATACTAGTAAAAAATGAATAATAATTGACAAGGCTTCATCTAAGAAATTCAGACAACTTAAGACTATTACTACTTGGTGGAAAACTATTAGACTATTACTACTTGGTGGAAAAGCAAGAGAAATAAGATGAAAGAAATATTAGTGAAAAATGAATAATAATTGACAAGGCTTCATCTAAAAATTCAGACAACTTAAGACTATTACTACTTGTGGAAAAAAGAGAAATAAGATGAAAGAAATACTAGTGAAAAAATGAATAATAATTGACAAGGCTTCATCTAAGAAATTCAGACAACTTAAGACTATTACTACTTGGTGGAAAAGCAAGAGAAATAAGATGAAAGAAAATACTAGTGAAAAATGAATAATAATTGACAACATCTAAGGCTTCATCTGGAAAAGCAAGAGAAATAAGATGAAAAAATTCTTCATCTAAGAAAGACAACTTAAGACTATTACTTGGTGGAAAAGCAAGAGAAATAAGATGAAAGAAACTTGAATAATAATTGTAAGAAATTCAGACAACTTAAGACTATTACTACTTGGTGGAAAAGCAAGAGAAATAAGATGAAAGAAATACTAGTGAAAATGAATAATAATTGACAAGGCTTCATCTAAGAAATTCAGACAACTTAAGACTATTACTACTTGGTGAAAATGAAAAGCTTCATCTAAGAAATTCAGACAACTTAAGACAATTACTATGGAAAAGCAAGAGAAATAAGATAGGCTTCATCTGAAAATGAACTTGGTGGAAAAGCAAGAGAAATAAGATGAAAAGAAATAATGAAAATGAATAATAATTGACAAGGCTTCATCTAAGAAATTGACAACTTAAGACTATTTACTACTTGGCAAGAGAAATAAGAAAAGAAATACTAGTGAAAATGAATAATAATTGACAATACTTCATCTTAAGAAATTCAGACAACTTAAATGAAAAGAAATACTAGTGAAAATGAATAATAATTGACAAGGCTTCATTAAGAAATTCAGACAACTTAAGACTATTACTACTTGGTGGAAAAGCAAGAGAAATAAGATGAAAGAAATACTAGTGAAAAATGAATAATAATTGACAAGGCTTCATCTAAGAAATTCAGACAACTTAAGACTAACTACTTGGTGGAAAAGCAAGAGAAATAAGATAAAAGAAATACTAGTGAAAAATGAATAATAATTGACAAGGCTTCATCTAAGAAATTCAGACAACTTAAGACTATTACTACTTTAAAAGCAAGAGGTGGAAAGCAAAATGAAATAAGAAATTCAGACAACTTAAGAAAATGGAAAAGCAAGAGAAATAAGAAGAAATAAATACTCATCTAAGAAATTCAGACAACTTAAGACTAAACTTGGTGGAAAAGCAAGAGAAATAAGATGAAATAGTGAAAAATGAATCTAAAATTAATTGACAGACAAGGCTTCATCTAAGAAATTCAGACAACTTAAGACTATTACTACTTGGTGGAAAAGCAAGAGAAATAAGATGAAAGAAATACTAGGTGACAAGGGAAAAGACAACTTAAGACTATTACTACTTGGTGGAAAAGCAAAGAAATAAGATGAAAGAAATACTAGTGAAAAATGAATAATAATTGACAAGGCTTCATCTAAGAAATTCAGACAACTTAAGACTATTACTACTTGGTGGAAAAGCAAGAGAAATAAGATGAAAGAAATACTAGTGAAAATGAATAAAATTGACAAATCTAAGAAATTCAGACAACTTAAGTGCAAAAAAATAAGATGAAAGAAATACTAGTGAAAAATGAATAATAATTGACAAGGCATCTAAGAAATTCAGACAACTTAAGACTATTCATCTGGAAAAGAATTTCATTTAGTGAAAGAAAAAAATATGCCATTAAACCTACTTGGTGGAAAAGCAAGAGAAATAAGATGAAAGAAATACTAGTGAAAAATGTTTTTTTTTGTTTTCTAAGGTTTCCCACATTCCTGGAAAAGCATGAAAGCTCATTTAAAATGAATTATAAAGAAAAACAATACCTGTTTTTTTTGTTTTAATTGATTTGCTATGCATAAAAAACATTGTTAATTTTTGCAGTTTAATGAAATATTCAAATTAACGCAACAATTCTTACAATTTCTCAATAATGAATAACAATGTGCATTTTATGACCAAAAGATTCAGTTATGTTACCAAAAGATAAAATTGCTTAATTTAATAACATCTCAATGCATGGTATGTTATTTAACCTTTAATATAAATATTAAAACTACAATGAATTAATAGAAAGGGTTTCTTAGGCCCAGTTGTCCACTACAGCCAAAAAGGTAGACATAGGTCTTGTTTACGAGAAAATCAAAATAGGTAGTCATAGGTCCAGTTGTATACTGGAGCCTAAAAAGTAGACATCAGTCCAGTTGTAGGATAGTCAAAAGTTGTATCTGATGATAACCATAGGTCAAATTTGTTCTTTAATCTGCAAGTATCCACCCAGAAAATGGTACCCACTTTTTTATGTGTGATATTCTAACACCTCTACAAGAGATGCAGTTGATGCATTCTGAACCACCAATGAGGCAATGATAATTTTTACCAAACGTCTTACACTTTGTTATTTATTATTTTCTGTCTTGGACCTCCTTATTCAAATCACCCCCTTTTATTAACCCTAGAACACTAACCATCAGTTAAAGTTACACCACTACTAACCATGGGTATATCATACCCGATTTTGAAAATATCAAAAAGATTATTAAACATAAATCTTTATTTGAAATATTTTACATGCAGGCACTTCAAACTTTGTACATTGAGTTAACATTAATAGGAACTGAAAAACATTATTTAGATAAGAAAATCAGGTAATGAAAGTTGTAATTAAAAATAGGAAAATTTGTGCTGGGTACTATATACCCATGGTTAGTGTTCTAGAGTTAAAAATTGAAGAAATTTTCTCCCACCCTTCAATTTAAGATGCAAGCATCCTACGAGGTGTCCTTAAAATTTGGATACTTAAGCAAAAATGCATATTTTCAAAAAATTAAATTTTCAACCTTTCATTGAATTGGAATCTTAACAAATAACATCATCAGTATGATTTCCATCATTTGTGATGCAAAGCTTGATGCATTTTGCAAGATTCATGTGAACTTGATGCAATAATTCCACATTGTTGTCTATTTTAGCACATTCACTCATTATGCATTCATTCAAGTGTGTTGCATCTGTGATTTTCATTGAGTACACCTTCTCCTTTAGCAGACCCCAGAAAAAGAAGTGATTTTTTTTTTCTTTCAGCAAAACCAGGTTTCCTCTGTGGAGATAAAAAAAATTTAATTTCCTGTGTATCCAGACTTCAGGGACATCCTGTAGAACAAAGCGTTTCATTTGAATATTTTATAAAATGGGTAGTTGGAATAAGAATGTCCCAGAGGAATTTTTAAACAACAACAACAAAAAAAAAATTGTCCCTGCCCATCTATTTGTAATTAAAAGGTACCATGTAACTTTTTAAAGTATTTATTTATTTAATGAGGGACTATAGGACATATTATAATTTTCTAACATTATATTTTTAGTTTCTTTATTTGAACTAAAAATATATTTACTAAGTTATTGTTTTCTGGGTGGGTACAAAGGTCAAATTTTGTCAGTATTGTTTTCTCATATTGCAGATAAGGTTGATATGCAGACATTTAAAGACAATAAAACCCTGGAATTAAAAACAGTTGTAAAAAAGCAGTCTCCTCCTCTTTATTGGTGTAGGATTTATAAAAGAAACTATTGTCTGTTTGCAT